CATTCCCTACACAGACCTATAAGATAATGAGCATCCAGGACAGAGCAACTATCAGAGACTAGAATAAAAAAGAGTACAAGAGTTGTGGGAAGCAGAGTAAATAACTACTAGACTCGCACGGCATGGCATGGCTTAAAAAGGCAGGTATTAGGCACACCACTTAGCTTAAAGCCTCAGCTTTGCTTCTCATTCACTAAGTGCTCCTGGGCAAAATCATCTTTCTATGCCACAGTTTCCTCATCAGTAGAACAGCATTTAATAGCTATCTCACAGGGTTGCTATGAAGCAAGGATCTAATGCAAAGGCATGGCATATGGCTGGCACTCAGTAATTGTTAGTTTCTTTCCACATCTCCAAGTTGGCCTGTAGTCAGAACTTGCCAGCTTTAAATGGATTTTTATACAGCTACATTTATCATCTTTTCTTCATTTCACTCTGATGGGCAATGAAGAGACATCAATGGGGCTTTCTCATTAGAAAGTCAATCCTGGCACCAAAGGATTTCCATGATTTAGCTTCATCTTACCTCTTCAAACCTATCTCACACTCCTCCAAAAATCTTTCAGATCAGACTTAACTTTCCTGAATATACCTTGAACATACAGATCCATATGTATTTTCCTCCCTTTTCTACAACTCTCCAAATACCCAAATCCATCTCACTGTTAAGACATAATATATTGTTATTTGTATTACTGGCAACATTTATTGAGTGCTTTCTACATAGCAGATACTATCGCAAGTATATCACATGCATTATCTCACTTAATCTTCACAAGCCCTACATTCTATCATTATCTCCATTCCCAAGAACACATATTTGCGTTTTTTCTCTAGATTGTACACTCTTTTATGACATGAACCATGCCTTGTGCTTCTTTGTATGATCACCTAGTTAAGCAGGAATTCAATGAATATGAATGTATGTATACAATGACTGCAATTTCATCATATTTTGTTTCTTTTAAGCTGCCATAACACTCACTTTCATCAAATCTACTACTCTGACAAAGTATAAAGTTGGTAAAAAGATGGGATGTTGTGATTTGTCATAAGAAATGTATATTTGGCTTTAGCCCCCATTCCTGGCACTTAGCTCCTAAAATCCAGGGAATTACTAAGTGTTGAGAGCTATAAATGTGTTTCTTTGTTACGTTAACGAGCTGGCTTTCAGAGAGTACTAGGTAACCTAAGGATGAGGGCCAACTATGTCATTTTGAGGGTTGGAACTTTCATTCCCCTCAATGGTCAATGATTTAATCAATCATGCCTAAGTAATGAGGTTTCCATAAAAACCCAAAAGGACATGGTTCAGAGAGTTTCCAGGTTGATGAAGCTCTCTGAACTTCATCTACATGCTGCCTTGGTGGGCCTCAAATTCCATGGGGACAGAGCTTCTTTGTTCAGGATCTCACCCTATGTATTTTTTCATCTGGCTGTTGATTCACATTCATTAATATCCTTTGTAATAAACCAGTAATCTATTGAGTAAACTAGTTTCCTGAGTTCTGTGAACCACTCTAGCAAATTAATCAAACCCAAGGAAGGAGGGTCATGAGAACCCCCTTTATAGGGGTTCACAGCCAGTTGGTCAGAAGTACAGGTGACAACCTGGATTTGCGATTGGTAAATGAAGTGGATAGCAGTCTTGTGGGACTGAGCCCTTAACTTGTGGGATCTGATGCGATCTTTGAGTAGACAGTGTCAGGACTGTGTTGAATTCTAGAACATGCAGCTGGTGTCAGAGAATTGCATGGTGGTGTGGGGGAAGAACCCACATGTTGGAGGTGGTTTCACAATCTTAAAAGGTTATCTAAGTTTTATAGATGTAGATATTTCTAGGGACTTGAGTCTGTCTACAGACATACAATAAAGATTCTGTGTATCGAGTAACAGTAATGGCTGCTGTGTTAGTTTGAGTTCTTATAAAGAAATACATAGGGGTACTAGGATTATATCAGTTTGATCATTTTTGATTAAGACCACTGTGAGTAAGAGTGAAAAAACTCATGGAAATAAAAAATTATGAATAAGTACTACCAAACAAAATCCATAAAATTTTACAGTCAATTTATCCTTATTCTGCAGATTTCTTAGATATTACAATAGGGAAA